AATAATAATAATAATAATAATTTCATTGACACAAATCTAAGTTGTTATTGAGAAATGAAAAATGTAAAGTAGAAATATTTAGAAATAATAATATAAATTCAATTCTTTAATATTTATGTATACATAATAATTTTCAATTGAAAGCAAAAAAAGAACTTCTGGATAATGTGCCACTCAACCCTGTTTCATCTACGCAGGGAAACGGTACACTAACCGTTGAGTTAAACTGCGCATTTTGTTGGATTATTAACTTACATTACCTAACTACAATATTCTACATAACGTATTGATAACTGAAGATTTCTGCAGCCTGAGCAAGATGAACACAGGTATTATGGTTTCTGTTCGAACTCCTGTTAACCCTTCAAAGCACAGTGGTTACTATTACCACCTGCAATAACATTAAAAATCTATACATTGTGCCCCAAGCGATGTGGTATCTGTGTTTCGTATGATTCTTAGAACACAAAGCGAGGATTTCCCTAACATTAATTGGCTGGCCTTTGTAATGGAAACGCCGTGTGCTTTCTATGAGGTACACACTGAATTTTTAAACATTATTTACATGGACTTCATGGTCCAAAGGGTTAATACTGTCCTCCCATCTCCATCTCACAAGCGGCCCTTATGCCAACCAAAATACCATAAACTTATCTTGTTCCTCCAGCAAACTACTCGCCCAACCAAGACAATATCCGAGTTAACATAACTGTAAAGCGGCATCCGTAGTCTAGGGGTAACGTTCCCACCTCATGACTCAAGGTACGCGGGTTGAAACCCGGCGGAGGTCGCGGAATTTTTAAGGGCGGAAAAATTCAGGGAACAAGTCCTCCGGGAGGGACTTTAAGCCGTGGGTCCCGTGTCTGATGGTAAGCACCAATACCGGTAGGGTATAGAGGCTGGTAGAAGATCATAGGGGGACGCACAATAGCTCAAACTGGTCGCGGAGCATGGGGAAACCCACCCCCTGCAATAATAATAATAATAACTGTAAACATTGGAAGAACCCGAACTGTTTCCATCTTCAATCAGTTAACTCGAAATTAAACACACCGGTAACGACAATGGCCTTAACATTAATTTAAAATTCAGATTCATGTTTCTCACATTTCTGAATACCCACGTCAGAAATGGTAACAAAAAGAAGAATAAACGTGGCCAAGAAAAATTCCTTTGTTCAGGAATATGGTCAGTGAACATGTTTTCTATATAAATACTTCAATTGAAAGGAGAGCGGGTAGGACTCTTCAGGACGCACTGTGCCTACAGTCACCCCTGGGAATGTGGCTGCACTTACACTGGTGAACACAGGTAGACCGTTGACAATGCGACACAAAGGAAAACACTGAGTCTGAAACGGGATCTGGCGGTAAATATCGAAACTGGTTGCGCGTAAGCTGAAAAGAAACTAGGATTTTACAGGCCGAACCAAACAATACAGGCAAAAGGTATAGGTAAAGTTGTTCCTGTGCTTAAATAATTATGCACTACGCCATAAAGGTGTATGGGGGAGTGAATGTATAGATCCTAATTTTCTTGGCCTCTGCACTAGCTGGAGGTGAATGGTAAGCTTCACACCCCGGTCGCTTTATCCCCGGGGAAAACGTCCCCAGTAACCACTGGATAGGAGGTTGGGTGGACCCCACAGCCGGTCTGGATGACTTGGAGAAGAGAACATTCTTGACCTTACCGGGACTCGAACTCCGACCCCCCGGTCGCCCAGCCCGTAGCCAGTCGCTATACCAAATACGCTATCACGGCTCCAAACAATACAGGAACGAGTAGCAAATTCAAGGAACTGGCAACATGGCTCGTGTGACCAATCCGCTTCGCCAGCCGTCTAGAAATTTCTTGTCTTTCCAGCGAGTAGATCAGCAAGTTACAGGGCAGTTACCTTTAACCTGCCCATCTAGCCTAAATTTTGGGTCCTTTTGTGAACTGTCTGCAGCATTTGTTCGATATGGTTTTCATTAAACTTGGTGTTGTGTCGTTCAAGTACCTGGAGGTTGATGCAGACACTGAATTAATTACATTCCAATTTAATTGCAATGAGATAATGATACAAGTTTCCATTAAAATAAGAATTATAAATTAACTTAGAATAATTTAGTTTTGCCGTTGCAAGCAGCAGACGGCTTCATGTCTCACAATGAAACAGACTGGGCTCATATATATGTGGTCTCCATATTGGTTTTTGTTAATTTCTTCTATTATATGCAGAAATCTTCCGTTCTCTGGTGTTCCTATGTTCTGCGTTTATATATAGTTAATACTGTGATACCATATTCGGTCCTGTTTTTGTGTTGTTTTAACTGCGTAGTCAATACTACTATTTCCATGAAATTTGATACTGAGGACATTTGCACCAATCCGTCGAACAACTGCATATTGCATGGAGAAGTAGTACAACACAAGTGGTATTTTACATACGTCTAAATTTGGAATCGAACTTGAAAGGGATCTAGCGCAAATACGAGTACAGTTCGGGTTTTTCTCTGTAGGGGCTAATTTTTTTCAAAACGCTTTAATTATCTGGTATTAAAGATGGGAGAACACTTCATGTCCGTCCGTCCGACTTTGTGCCTGTCCGCTCGTTATCCTCTACTGTTCTTACGGCATGTATTAAAGAGCATCGATAACAAAAGTTTCTATGATAAAAGAAATTACATTTAAAATTAGGCCACGGCCGCTTCCTCCCATGTCTCTTCCATATAGCGTGACCTGTTGAAGCCATTAAATATATTCAGAAAAAAACTTCGTGGCCTGCAGTCCGCAAGCGAACTACACCGACGGAGCGAACGCCGCCTGTCGGCGAAGTTAGTGTCAATTTTTGCGGATAAAGGTGTCACGTGGTGAACGCAACGGATCCCCACGGCCGTTAATCTCGGTTTCCTAGACTGGAGCCGCTAGTTCCTTGAAATAGCTCCTCAATTATTCCCACGAGGCTAAGTGGACCTCGTTCCAGACCCACTACTTCTCAGAAAATCGAACCCGGGACCTCTGGATCTGTAGCTAGGTACTATGACCACTAGACCAGATGAACTATTCTTATTTACAACTTATGTTCGTTCTTACCTGGGAATCGTTTAGACTTTCTAGCGCCTGCATTACGCTCTGCTCTGGACGTTGTGCCTGCAAAGATAAGAAGCATATGTCAGTGCACTGAAAAGAACTGAAATCACAACGAACTCTATTTAGTTACGCAGCTGCCACCGAGACGACGCGAAAACATTACAAATCCGAACGGCGGTCTTCACTGTGACACCAGGCAACGATTCTTGCAACGAGGAATCGCTTAAAAAACAGACACAGTAAATTAATACAATACACCTCAATCGGTATAGCAAGTAGGTTATACGCTGGACTACCGAGGAATCGGAGGGTTGATTTCCCAGGCAGGGAGGAGAGATGTTCTCTTTCACACAGCGCCCAGACCAGCTCTGCAGTCACCCAGCCGCCTGTCCAATGGATACTGGAGGTCTTCTCCCAGGGAAAAAAGCGGGCAGGACGTGAAACTGACCCTTACCTCTGTATCACCTCCTCCTCACACGCCTTAGTGGGGTGCAGACAGAAATTAAGACGGTTATATACCAGGAAATTCATCAACCTACGCATTTAAACCACTAAAGGTGGAGGCAGCATGTTACTGCGGAACGTCGGGATACGCCTACAGACTACACAGTGCCACAATGCGCTAGGCCACAATCTAAACTTTACCTTTACTGTTAACAATTAGACTATTTGGCCAATCAGAATCGTATTACATGTAACATTAAGAACGTGACCACTGTGTTCATATTTAATGTGGTCCAATTTGTGTGTGGGTCATACAACTGTTTAAACCTATTAAAGAACTGAAAGTCGGTAGATTTTTCTTAATGGATATTCCGCTAGCTAAGGAATTCACTGCTTTCACGCAATCCGAATGTCTGTTACTGTCTTCAGAAAAGCCCATATTGAGTCAGATCAATCTACTTCACTTCACTATTTCATAACATCTAACTTAATATTATCCTCTCACATACTCCTGTGGCAATCGAGTAACAACCTCGACGCTTAGAGAATTCGCATTTTCGAGGTGGCAGAAAAATCTCGGAGATAATAAAGAACTGTCAAACAATACTCATTTTTCTTGTTATATAGATACTACAAACATCGTTTTGACAGAAGTATGACGGTAGGTCAGTTCAACCAAGGTCACACACATTCAAGGCATATCTCAGCATTCATTTTAACATTATTCTCTCACTCCTGCGACCTCGCAGCAGTACTTCTCCATGCTAAGATTTGAAACATTTTCCCAGTCCTAGCAACACTCATCAGGTGATTCACGCAAAAGCAACAACGAACTTCATACATTTATTAACAAGCAACAGGCATATAAAACAAGACAAAATAACAAAACAACCTTAACGAAACAATATACGTAAATAGCCAGAGTTATCGTAAGCGTAATTTGTATTTATGTTTATTGTTTCATAAGACTGGTTTGTCATTTTGTCTCGTTTGATACGCCTGTTGCTTCTTATTTCTTATTACAGGCCTATGCATATTATAATGGAGCAATGTTGACTAACAACTTATCGGATAGATTCAATTCATCGCACAGTTTATGAGTACTTTGTAGTTCTTTACAATCGATATTTTGCTTTTAATGAACGCGATGGCAATATAGCAAACACTCCGCATTCCTGACTTCATCATTCGCGAAATTCGCGATTTCTATTGCATGCAGATTATACATTCGCGCCCCATAGAGCTCGCAAATACACGAGTTTGCCACCATCAATATGGTTGCCTAAACCAGAGGCGCATGCGCTCCCTCCACAGTCTACTCCGACAGACAAAGCGGTGGAATGCGATCTGGTACGCCATGGGGAATGGTCTCGAATTTAAGACGGAGATTGAGGTTGCATCCTACCCCAACCTTGAAATTCAAAAGAAACTGAAAAAAAAAAACACACACACAATCAAATCACAATCGCCAGGATTTTCAGCCCACGCCCCAACGCGCTTCAATCGTCCCTCTTTGGGCGATTTGGTTTCACTTCACCATATGTTCTCATATACTGGCAAACTTATATGCTAAGTTACACTGAGAATTCCAGCTCTATACTGTAAACACCATGTCTACTTTTATCTTCTAAATGTTCGATTACGAGACAGCATGGTTTATTTCAAACAAGAAAGTAACAGCTTCAATAGTAATAGTTTCAGATGCTGAGTGCTAACATATTTGTGAAAGTAATTCTAAACAGGAAATTAAATGATATCCCACGCGGTCAGGTAGGCCGTTACCGATACCGCTTTCAGGTCCCGTTCATTCTGCGATGCCGTTTCACAGAGTAACAAATCATTTCAATGCCCACATTCGACCTGTCATTTTCAGGCCTTGAGCTTAAAGCGACGTTACTACAAAAACATTATATGAGAGAAAATAACATTAGTTCGCACAAGTCCTGCATTTTCGGAAATGCTTTCCGCCTCAGTGCATTCTTCCCCAGATGTTCCAGCGTTCACCAAGTCCTGACAGTGGGACGCCACTCAGTGTGCTGAGACGCGTTTCGGTACTCGAAAATTAAGTCGCCAGGAGACGCTCGAAACAAACTCCGTGGACTGTAATCCGCAAGCGAACTATACCGACCGAGCTACCGCCGCTTGTAGGCGAAGTTAGTATCAACTTTAGGGAACAGAGGGTGTCGCGTAGTCAGCGCAACAAATCGCCACGGCCGTTAATTTCGGTTTTCCTGACCGGAGCCGCTAGTTTTCCAATCAAATAGCTCCTCAATTACCTTCACGAGGCTGAGTGGACCCCGTTCCACACCCACTACTACTCATAAAATCTGACAGCGCCATACCGCTGAAACACGACAGTTGGGGCACTAGCTAGCTATATATGTATCTGTAATATCATTTATTGTCTCTTCCCATTAGCAGAAGGATCCATACATATTTCAAATAATGACAGAACAAAACACACGTGCACTGTATCAGCATCTGGCAAGCCCAATGCTGGGAAGTCGACGGGCACATCTGAATTACTAACCACTCCAGAAACAAGAAACGTTCTTTCAAGACTAAAACATTCTTCACAGATGCGTCACCATCAACAAGAGAGTTCATTATGGGTCAACAAAATTCATTATCGATTCACATTATCCTTTGCCGTGACGTGTTGGAAAGAAAAAAGCCAGTTCCTCCGAACACCTCACTATTTGCTTTGTACGTAGATTTAGACTGGTCCTTCAGAAACAGGTCGGCCTGTGATTTCTCTCATTAACATGCAACTCCTGTCTGTAACTGAAGGATACCACACAACAACTGTGTGCGCACATGACGGATATTTTCTCTATTTCTTACGGAATTCACGTCAAACATACGTCACTGATTAGGATGAGTGAAATGCAAGGACATAACACGTCATGTTCGAAGCCAGACTATCAGCGCCAAGCAGAGAACAATATTGTAAACGTCCATGGGAAATTCGAATTTATTCCGTTTTCCTCTCTGTATCCGGAGTACCTAAAAAAACATTTACGCGACTAAACATGTTAACTCGCAAATGCAAGATTTCTGTTACGGGGATATGAACCCTCAATCAATATTTGAAATAACAAAGCAAAGTTCGGAGGAAGGGAGGGCGGTTGAGGCCGAGAAAAAGTACAGAGTGTCCGTAAATGATTTATACAATTTTAATTTGTTATATCAAGGTAAATATTACAGCTGTACAGTTGTAACTAGTGTCATGTGAATGACAAACTCTGAGCGTTTTACATATCCTAAAGATGCTCAGTGTGAACTCAATTCGTGACTCGACAAACGTCCAGTGTGATTCAGTTCATCCCATACTCTAACATGTTCCTGTGAACTGTCTCGACAGCTGCGGTAATTCTCAACTTCAGTGCATCAATATCCAGTGGTGTAGGTGGCACAAACACGTGTTCCTCTACATAACCCCACAGAAAGAAGTCACGTGGCCCGCTGAACACTGGTGCACGAATTTGTTTTCGCTTTTTTTTTTTTATTGCTAGTTGGGTGGGACCAAGTCCCTTGTACTGCGGCCACTTCTGACCTATTGTACCAGCCCCAGATGATAGGTGGGGGTGATTGTGGAGCAACTGGTGGAATGAATATTGGCAGGGGAAACCAAAGTACTCGGAGAAGACCTGCCCCAGCGCCACTTTGTCCACCACAAATCCAACTTGACCAGACTCGGGATCGAACCCGGGCCGACGCGGTGGGATGCCAGCGACTAACCGCTGAACACTGGTGCACGAATTTGTTTTCGCTTACTCAATCACGCAAAAGTTCTTCTCTGTGGGAGACGTCATTTCTGATAACTGCGGAGCCTGGCGGTAGAGATATGTACTATAAAGATATACCACCAATTTTGATATCTCTTTCCGCCGATACTGCTTGTATATGGGTATGCTTTGTAGTTTCCTCACATTTTATCCCCGAATGTGTATCAATCATTTACGGACACCGTGTATATCAATCTTCCGTAACAGAGACTGTATGAAGCATTATTTGGGTAACAATACAGTTACAAAATAGACTCTACAAATGCTTAAACTGGCCATTTATAATCATATTGTGTAAGTTTCACTTCTTTCTATTTTTACTGGTTTTGTCATAGTACAGTTCTAGACTCAAGAAGAATTATCCCGTACTTAGGGGACTACCTTGTATTTACAATATCTTTATTGGATAGTTTTTTGCATCAGTTAAATTACAGTACGTTAATTCGTTCATTTAATATATATATATATAAATTGGTTTTCGTATTCACGCAGTTGGGGGGTGTTTTATACTTGACTCTGCGATTCGCTATTGTTGAGTACGTCTTTACTTTCCAACATTTAACAACAGAAGAAAAGAACGGACCTTTACATTTCGTTTCTGTATTCCTCTTTATCTTTCTACACCAACTGTTACGCTTCGCAAAGCACTGCCATTATCAGTCTATTTTAGTACAAAAATGTGTAAATATGTAAATAAATGTCCTTTCATCCTCAAGAATGTGACATTAAGCGCCACGTCCAGATCCAATAAGCAAAACTGGTGGCGGTATTAAAGATTTTGGGGCCCAAAGCAAGCCAGGTCTAAGACTGGCCCTGTTATCATCTGCA